GGTGGAAATTGAAAAGCTCTCACAAGAAAAAGAAGCGATGCAACGACACTACATGATGTATTATGAGATGAGTTATGGTTTAAATGTTGAAATGCATAAACAGACCGAAATTGCCAAGCGATACAATGCTATTCTGTCACAGATTATTCCACTGCTCCCAGCCGAACATCAGCAGTCAGCTCTTGCGGCAATGGAACGTGCTAGACAAATCAGCATGGCTGAATTACATCAGGTGATCGTGCAATATTCTCATACATTATTACTTTACGTACACTTTTCGCTGTTACACATATAAATCGCATGAAATCAATTTTTGCGGTGTAGAATGAATTTTGTTAGAATTAATGCTACCGAACGATTGTGATTGAAACATAGTGTCCGATTTTCTAATCTAGCTTATTAATGTAGAAATTATTGCATGATTTTGAGAAAGGCAAAATGATTCTGATTTGGGCATTACGCATGATCTCATTAATTGGAGTCTGCACAGACACATGCTTTCGCAGATGATCTGCTTTGCACTGATTCATGTGAAACGTGCATCTAGTCGTACCTCATCTTTAAAGCATTTTAGGTTATCGGAAGCCAAGTACATGCACAGCAGCAGTTAGCAATGCTTCCTGGTATGGGTATGGCTGCTCCCATGAGCCTGGCAGCTCAAGGTCCTTTTCATCCTATTGCTGCTGTTGCAGCCGCAGCGGTTGGGATGGGAGCTAAGCCAGAAGAAAAGAATGATGATCGTAATTCCAGCAGGGCATCACGACCCCGTTCCAGTACACCGGAGACAAGTCAGAAAAGAGTAAAGGTTATTTTCAATTCCATAGGAATGGCTTACGTTCAATAATTTAGAAGTTTGTAATCTATTGTATGAAGCCCAGTGAATTTTTATTTTTGAAGGAATCCATTATTTTTTTTGATACTCTCTAAGTCTATGTTGGGTCAAGATAGCTGCCTATTTTCTAGAATGAGGGAATTTCTTGGCAGTTTCGAAAATTATCTTTGGAATCTTTCGGATTTCAAGTTTCGATTAAGCCTTATTTTTTCTAGGTCGAATCAGAAGACGGTGATGGTGATCTGGAGATCGATGTGCAAAATGATGATCCCTCAGTAACAAACGGTGTGAATTTGAAAAAAGATGGGCGAGAAAGTACTCATTCCGTGTCATCCGGCGATTCGACACCTGGCAAAGCACGAATTTCGAATGCCCTCACATCAGCCGATGCTATTGCGTCGATGGCTTCATCAGTGCTTGGCAATCCAGCACTGGCTTCTTTTGCTGGACGAGCCGCTTTACCCGCAATGTTGGATCCACATGCACAAGCTCGTTTCATGGCTGGAATGAGTCAGGCTGGAGCGATTTCAAACGGAAAGCCTGCCTACAGTTACAAAACAACAGAAAGCGGGCAACTGCAACCAGTAGCATTTCCACAGGATGCTTTAATGGGGCCAGGTATACCGCGTATGGCACGAAAGGTTCATGATTTGCAACACGGAGAAGTGGTTTGCGCGGTAACAATCTCACACCAAAATCGGCATGTTTATACAGGTGGTAAAGGTTGTGTGAAGGTTTGCTTTTGCCTTGTTTATTTGGTTTGTAGTGCTTCTTGAAACTTCTTGATTACTTTATCTTTATAATAACAATATCCTCGAAGTTTGGGATGTTCAAAATATTCTGGTGTATTTACATATTAAAAAAATCTAAATCTGCATTGTGAAGTCCTTGTTCACTGTCATCTATTCCAAGGAAAGACTTTTTACATTTTTATAACTCAAACTAGTGGTATAGTCAAGCTTATTTTTCTCCCTTCTTTGAGTATATTTTCTGAAGATATTTATGATTCTTGGGCTACAGTGGTATAACTATGTTTCCCATCGTTTATTCATCCTGCGATCTTGTGGTGGCAGCTGAGAGTTAATTCTGATGTGGCGTATTTAGTATGATTAGTTATGATTACTGAAATATGTAATTGTAGATATGGGATATATCCAGAGCGGAAACGTCGAAAAATGCGATCTCAACATTAGAGTGCCTCAAAGACAATTACATTCGTTCGTGCAAATTGTTCAATGATGGTTCCACCTTGATTGTTGGAGGCGAAGCACAAACAATTACTGTCTGGGATCTGATGGTGTGTATGTGTATCATTTAAATATTTGTATGATATATTTTACTTTAATGGTGCAGTTTTTGATATGTCAGTTTCTAGAAGGAGAAATCTCACTGGCAGTATCATAAGGAATTGGTTTGAAAGGTCGTTATTTCTCACTCATATGATCATTCAAATGATAATTTTGTTATTACAGTATACATTGTGAGGGTAATTTACCCTGACACATGCATTTTATCGAACTTGTTTCAATGTTTTAGACGGAAAAAGTAAAAATAGAACTTGATAGTGAAGCACAAGCGTGCTATGCCTTAGCGATTTCGCCAGACAACAAACTGTGCTTTTCATGCTCGGCAGATGGGAAAATTATTATTTGGGATCTCGATAGCAAAAAAATGGTAATTGTTTCCACATACATTTTAAATCGTCAGGGACGGTGCTGATGCTTTTTCTTGTTCGTTTTCCTAAATCTCATTTGTTCGTTTATTTCCTTGCGTCTTTATCTGTCGTTTATCATTCTCAAATTTTCGTTTATCAGGTGCATTGCTTACCCGGACATCAAGATGGTGCCAGTTGTGTTGATCTTTCAAACGATGCCGTACGGTTATGGAGTGGTGGTTTAGACAATACCGTTCGTTCATGGGACTTACGTGAAAGGGTTCAGTTACAACAACATGATTTCCAGTCACAAATTTTCTCTCTCGGATGTTGTCCATGTGATGATTGGGTTGCTGTTGGCATGGAAAATAGTAATGTTGAAGTTCTTCATGTCAGTAAACCAGATAGGTCAATTTTTTCTTTTATATAATTTTACTTCCCTATGGTATTTTTTGTATTATCTTACTTCTCTATGGTATTTTTTCTATAATTTTACTTCCCTATGACGTTTTACTTTCTTATAACTCATCTTCACTTTATGATACATATCGAAATGAATGTGAAATCGACGTCACTATAGTTTTTGAGTGGTAACTTTTAATGAGTCCAGATATGTAATGCTGTGCACTAAAATGATCCGAGTTTATGAACAGACTCGTGCTTGCTTGATCAAAGAAACTCTGTAAATTATTTGAGCACAAAAAGGAAAGTTATGGATTTACTGGGGAGCTCATAAATGGCAGTATTTTTGTAGCCACTATGATTAAGATTTGCTAATTCCTCACTTCTACCATGGTGCTCCAGTGCTTGCCTAAGATAGCAAAGCCATATATGATTTTAATAAATGAAGCTACTGGAGGGCAATATGTTGCTTTTTGGTTAAGGAATTTTTCTCTTTTCTGTTTATAAATCGTAATCATTAAAAAACTTGAAAATATTGTAGGTACTCGTTGCATATGCATGACAGCTGTGTGCTATCGCTGAAGTTTGCGCATAGTGGAAAATGGTTCGTTTCAACAGGTAAAGATAACATGTTATGCGCATGGCGAACTCCCTATGGAGCATCGCTTCTCACGGCTAAAGAAAGTTCGTCGGTGCTGTCGTGCGACATATCGTTTGATGATAAATATATTGTCACCGGATCTGGTGAAAAGAAAGCTACCGTTTATGAGGTGGGTTACTGATCTCCTTACTATTTCTTGACTGTTTTTGTTGCAGTGATAAATTGTCATACTTTTATCGATAAAATATCTTTATCACTTTGTATCTATTATTCGTTTTGTCTGTCTCTGCTGTTTACATTGTCCTAAATCTGTGAAACTGTTTGAAAGGAGATCTCCCTTTCGAAAATGTATGACCCAGCGATATTTAAGCAGGGCTTCAAATAAAGAAGCCTCAAGATAGCCAGTTAATGGCTTCACCTATACTAACAAGAGTATAGCAAACGGCATCTGCGCATTAATTCCTCATATATTCTCTTGCCTTCACGCATCTGCTAGATTAATCTTTATCAAGTTCGAGTCATGCTGCATTGTACACAACTTCGGGTGAAGAGACGCAGACAAGGTACAAGACTCGAATAGAGGTTTTTCCAATGTTAAGTTTTTATCCTCCTCCAATAAATAGAATATGAAAAGAGATGATATAATAGACGAAATGCATCGAAGCAAAGATTTTCACTTTCAAACCTCACAAATTATGCTTCAGAAATGTTTTTATAGAACAGTCTTAGCTCCGATTGTCTTGAATTAAGCTGTTCGAAATCCCAGCTTCCGACTTCTATTTATTTCCATAATCCTTGGCATTGGAGGAAACTTCGACATGATAGATTGAGGAGGGCAGAAAGAACAGCTGAAAGTAATAGTAGCAAAATAAAGGAATAATGTGATCGATTTCTCTCTTCCCATCATGAACTAAATGCTCTACAGAGCCTTGGACAGCATGAATCAGCCTTTAGACCACTGAGGAATTTTTTTTCTCTTTAAGAGATTTTTATTTGGTTGCTTACTAGATGATCTGCAGGGAAGAGGAAAGATCTAGAGTGAATATAGTGTTGTGATGAAGCTTGAAACATTGCATCTCCCGCTAACATTTTTTACGTCCTTAGAAATATTTTCTCCACCTGGAAAATTAAGGAATCTTACCTTAATATCCTCACTAAGAGGTTTGCTCAGCTAAACAGAGCCGGACTTGTATTCTAAATATTCATATAATTCATCTTTTGAGTTGCTTTTGCGCCAGCATATCTTTCCACAACTTGTGCAAATCATTGTTGTCTTGGTACCGTACTTTGGAGTGAAAAAACCCTCCAGTCAATGTTCTGCATACATGCAGGAAGTGGGACAGGGACACTGACCATCACAGACTTATGGCGCAAACGCATTCCGTTTTCTTTTTTTGTCGTGATTTTGTTGTTGATATCGGGAAATCCCCTATTTTTGTAACTTCGCTTGATTTGTGTCGTAATACTTTCTAACTATTGGTCGTGAGAAGTTAGTTTCAGTATGACCCTGACTTTGTGATTGTTGGTTTCATTTCTCATTTGGTTAAAATCGCCCATCACTACTCGTTATTTTTAGTCATTGTTTCACCAATTTACTTTGTTTTACTTTGGCATGAAAACAGTTTTAATTTCCAATGAATCGCACTGCTAAATGTTTTTTCCCACCTGTTATGATATAGCTTAGCTGAATAATCATTTCTAGTTTATAAAAGCGGAGTAAAAACGCCAGGCCGCTCTTTGATTTTAGTCACAAAGCAAAGATTCATCGTGCTATTCCTTTTCTGTTATCCGATTTTTGAATTTAAAACTGAGGCAGGAGGGTAGCATATCAAAAATTGGACGAATGCAGCGTCTATGCAAGTCATCATGCATTCGAATAGATTTGTTCACAAAGGTAGCAAAACCATGCAAAACAAAAAATAAGTTGAAAACAATTTGGAGTGATAACTTCAGACTCGTGTCAATCAACGCGCATACATTACAAATGTTCCATCTTCCCAAAGTATGCGGTTCGGTTTCCATTAGGGCGTAACATGGAAAAAGTAGATGAAATAATATCCGAGGAGGAGCTGTTGATATAAAACAACGAGGATGAGCTGAGCTAATGATGCCTAAGCTACCCCATGAAAAAAGCAATAAAATGAAAAATTAGGAAACATCAGATGCTGAGAGGCTAGTAACGTGGAAAATTGGGTGGGAAGGAAGTCTCAAAGCTACAAGGCTAGAAGAGAGCAGTTTCTACCAAACAACTACGAGATTTTCTCGTCAGAGATTGGCACAGAATTTAACGGGTCTCATCAAATTTCGAAAAATACACTTTTTCGGACAAGCTTCAATGCTAGCGAGCCATTTTTAGTGATTTCGTGTCCCCTAACGTCCTCCTACATTCAGTGTGTGGTGACATGTTTTCAGATCATATGAAATGTTACAAAATTTGAATGGATTTGAATGGAATTTGAATGGGTTATCTATCCCTCTCTATGCAGAATAACGAAAGCACCTAGAGCGATCAAAACTGCGTATTTCAATTTAGGATAATCATTCATCAGGATTGTAACCATTCCAACATAAGGTACAAATCCCTTTGCTCGACCAACAACATCTTTTCGTGTTAACCAGAATTGTCCCGAAGCATATAAACCTCGGTCATCGACCTAAAAAAAAATAGTGTGATTAAAAAATATAGCATTAAACTGTTCTAAATATATGTATACGATATGAAAGCCTATATGTGTAGACAACATGATGAAAGATATCTGCTATATGGTTAGAAAAAATATTACTCAGATTTAGTATCAAGATAAAATTCTATATCCCAAACTGATTTCAATTTGAAGACTGCCTTCGTGATGTCTTCTTTAAAATGATATATGTAATTTAAATCATAAACCCCTGGAATTCTCTGATATACTGCTAAACTACAATGGTTGAATTTCGTTGATTTAGCATTCTGAAATTCGAGTTGTTTTAATTAAATCAGTACTCTTCAGAAGACAAAGGATAACGGCTTGGTAATAACCTCATATTAACGGGAGTATATAAATTGATCTATTTGAATTTTAGATTGGATTGAATTGAAATTTCCGATAAAAAGATTTCTCGACAAACCATTTCAAATCACCACCTGATTATTATCTCCTTTTGTCAAAAATTTTGTTTCTTCATTGCTTTTCTCATGCACCTTGATAACTCGATGTACAATTGGAATATCACGCCCCTCAACTTTAAATACCGTAATATCGCCAGCTCTGATCGGGTCCGAATCATCATTCGTTAGCAGCAACAAATCACCTCTACGAACTTGTGATAACTACATTATAAAATCATATCTGCATAATTAAGATTCCGTTTCATGACTTAGATAGTACAACTATTTCTTTATTAGCAAGTCTCGCTTTTTATAGATACTTGGAAAGCTGAAAAAGTAAGCTTTATTTTTGCATTCCTTTTTCCCGAAATCGTCTCAATAATTCTACAATTCTTACTTTTGCAACATAAATGGCAAATGCAATGGAAAATAGAGATTGAGGTAACCGAGGTACATGTGAGGACAGTATTAACGTTAAGTGCCAAAAAAAATCAAAATACCTATAGAATGCAGGTTCCATAGAACCCGACAACACGACTACAATGGGACTTTCGGAACCAGTAATAACCATCAAACCCTTCCAAATCATCAAGGCTGAAGAAACAATCATTGCGAAATTCAGGCCCTGATACAACAGCTGCCTCAGATTCATTCGTCTTACTTCATCGAATATTTGCAAATTCCAAACACCCATCTCCGATGTGGAATCTCCTGAAAGAGAAAACTAATATCAATACGAATACAATGATTGTAGATTGAGAGAGATTGACAGACTTACTGGAATTTTACAGATATTTATCCAGCAAAATAGCCTATTCGGACAATGACACTTTCGGATCATATCATTTTTACTGCAAGAATTAAACATACACAAGCAAAAGTAACAAAACTCAGTCATGAAAAATATACAACTTAGTGAGAATAACTGAGTTCCACTTTGTGAGACCAAAACAATAGAACAAGAAATACAATTCAAAGAATGAACTTTTCAGTTATTTGCTACAACGGGAGTCACTGCGTCATTTAGTGGATTCCACCGTTCAAATAGCATTTAACGAGGGCCACAAGTTAGGACTAAATGCATTCAATACCTTTGACACAAATAACGGAGAAGCAGTAGCTCCATATAGTCAGTTCTTAGGACAACTAAACACGAGAAATAATTTATGTCACATTTGAATGCGGCCGAATATCACAAATCTTGCTGCTGTTCATGATATTAATAGCGTTCTAGCAGTGAAAGAACAAAACTGACGATTCACAAACTACTGTAATGTCTCTCATGCAAAAATATTATAGCCTTTCCATGAAATATTTCTATTAAATAGTCACTCAGCGAAGTTAATTCACTAAAATATCAATTTATAGAAGACATGTACTACCTGATGCCTCATTATATATATATATATATATATATATATTTTCTAAATAATATGATAGAAGCCGGAAATAATAAATGAATAGAGAACGATGTAATACAGAGTCTTAAATATGTATTTCATTTAAAATAATAGCGTTCGGGAATTACTCATTTGCAGAAAGACCAAGATAGTCATCCATCAGAGTACCAATAGCAAAAATGTCAGAAGCATCCACTCGCGTGCCAATCAGTTTCACACGGATTTCGTCATCTTGCTTGATGACAACACTTTCATCTGCTGTTTTGTAGCACGGAGGATTTGAATTTGGCTCAAACTCCATATCCGGTGGAATGCAATGACGACTTACAAAGCATGAAAGCGGACCAATATCGCAAAACAGTCCAACCTACAAACGGATATATTTAAGGATTTAATTAAATTTAGAAGGAAAAACTATGACAGTAAACTAAGAATGTAATGAACAAGTTAAATACTATTCGTTCATTCCATAATTTTTTCTAAAGCAATTTTGATCATTTTGATTACAATATAAGTTATAGTCACAATGTCGCCAGCTAATTCTAATTCTTCGGTACCATGATACAAGGCAAAGAAAATGCATGTGCAAAGCTGCTCCGTGAATAATGAATTTTAATTTTAACTTCTACAGAAAATTTAAAGAAGTGAGTCTCTTACTTTATTTACTTGATTTACTACCGCATCAACAACTTGTCCTTTAAATGGCCTGAACACTATTGCCTTGTATTTTACGGGATACAGTACAAAACCACGACCTGGAAAAAAGAATAAAAAAATGACAGGTGGATTTTGTGCTCATTATATGTGAATCTGCAAAAACCTTATCATAAATACAAAACCAAACCTAATCAACTGTCTCTTGAAACTTATCATTAAATAGGATGACATTATAAGTTATGAATCCAGATAATTTAGGTAGCAGGAATAAAATGAGGACGGTAAACACTATTTCCGAACACAAATTCTTCGAATTAATGACAACAAATGAATACCTGGCTGGATAAGTCCCGCACCAATATTATCGATTGTAGTTACTGCAACAACAAAGCCATATTTTCCAGTGCAGGTGCCTTCGACCTCATTGAACAACTTTCGTTTCACTGTCTCCAGTAAATCAGGACCGAAATACTTGGGATGAAGGCATATTTCATGATCCAACGGTATATGATAGAACATGTCATTTATTCTATTTTCGGATTTCTTCCTAGATGAGCTAAATATTAAACAGTCGACATGATTAGCACAATAACTCCATTTACTTCACCATAATTTTGTTCTCCGAAATAATGTCACTCTAAGCGTAGGACAGTAGCAGAAGTAATACTTAAATGTCAGCTATAAGTAGCATCATATCTATGTCACCCGTGCGAAACGAGAAGATTCTTATAGGAAAGGCTCCACTCTTGACACTTCACACTGTCACGTTAAGCAACGCATCCCACCCCCCAACTGCAACACATGTCAGTTTGAAAGTAAGATATGGTGCGGCCCGTGATAAGAGGACGCCTAGTTGCTGTTGGCGTAATTTTGGGGAGCTGTGGTATTAACTGTATTGGTTATTTTGTGCGAATTTGTGGGACAAATGGTAAAGGGATGATTGAAGGGATGAAGTTCTTTGGGTGTAGGCACGAAAATTTTCTCATTCTCAATATATGTTTTTTGCTTGTCCTTCCTATTAAAATATATAATGTGCAATATAGTGAAGTGATCCACCATGAACACGAATAGATATGTGGATTTCTACATTAAGTTATCCGAGTAAGTTCCAATTCTTTACTTTGATTATTTCAGATAACGTGAACATTCTGATACAGCAAAGCATTCGCAATAACCAAAGAGACTGTATGCAATGGTGCGGATGAGTGTGTTAGCTGATGCGTTAAAAACTATCAATAATGCTGAAAAGCGTGGTAAACGACAAGTTCTAATTCGACCATGCTCGAAGGTACTTTTGAGAGATTGAAAGATTAAAGAAGACCAAGAAGCTGTAGTTTGTTTCATCTGTCGAACATCAGTAAATGTAACCTCTGTTCTCGTTGAAGTAATACTTGAAAACCTTCGCTTTCTTGTACCTCATCTTTGCAGTAGTTACCATAATTGATTTCTATTTTCATCTTACGCTATTTTAATGTAATTTCACAATTTCACATGCTTACAGGTTATGCTATTTGCCTGTATTCCATTTCGTCCCATTTCTTTACTCTTTGGAACACTCCATTTTTTATCCATTTAGAAGAGTGACTACGATCTTCAAGGGATTTTTTTTCTGATTAATATTACACTGCTAATTGTTGCAGGTAATAGTACGTTTTCTAACTGTAATGATGAAAGCTGGCTATATTGGTGAATTTGAAATCATTGACGATCATCGAGCTGGGAAAATAGTTGTTAATTTAACGGGTCGCATCAACAAGTGCTCCGTAATTAGTCCACGTTTCGATATTTCCTTGAAAGATTTGGAAAAGTGGACATCCAATCTTCTTCCTTCACGCCAGTTTGGGTAAGCATCGCTTTTCTGAATGCGCATATTTTTTACTGTTATTAGGATGGTAATTACAACTTGAATTTTCAGAAATTTGTGAGTAGCTGTTTATCAGGGAATCATGCAGTTCGAGATGTGAAATATTATCAATATGGAAGTGGGTAGCTCGAAGTACTAGAAAATTTTTGAACATATTGAAAAGGAAAAATATTGAAAACTTCTGGCTGAGACACTTGGGGGAACACTATTCCTCAAAAATTGGATCCATACAAATTAAAATTAAATTAATGTGCTTATAGACATCTTGTGCTGACAACCTCAGGCGGAATCATGGATCATGAAGAAGCGCGAAGAAAACATCTTGGTGGGAAAATTCTTGGGTTTTTCTTCTGATTACTGTTGAGAATCGTTTTGTGTTATTTGTTTGTCAAATATGGATTGGTATTGAGAATGGAATGGAAATAAATTTTGTTATTTGTTGTTGTGTTTTTCAAAAAAATGTTTTGCAAATTTGCAGCGTTAAATTTACATGAAAAATAAAAATAGGCAAATTTGATGAAAAGGGTTACAGGTGGAAAGCGTGGTCGATTTTCCAGATTCTTGATAGCAACAGTATCACAATAGTTGTGGAGTTATTCACCTAACCGAATGAGTTTTATTGGTATTGAAGTCGGTGGTTATGCTCGTAGTTTTATAAAGGGTTGGTCAGAGGATGGCGGAAGTTATTGAGAGGTATAACGTAGTGGGTTCTCAAACGAGAGTAATGAGAGATTTGGTAGCATTTTGTAGTGTCTTAAAGTATGAGGAATTGAAGCACTTCTTTATTTCATTTTCCTGTTGTTTGGGTCTTCAAAATTGGGCGTGTGAGACATTGCCGTCGGGTTTATACGGTTGTTTTCAATATAGATATCCACATCAAAGCAGAAGGGAGAATGCTTATTGTTGTTACTTGGTAAAAGCCATCGAAGCATGTTAGCTGTTCTACGCTTGCATATTATATTCCTGCAGATAGACCTTAAAAAAGAGGGTCTTTGAAATAGTGGTTTTTGTTCGTGCTGCTTTTGTAACTTTATTTTTCTCTTCAGTCATCGGATTTGGAGAAAAGTTATTCACTTCAGGTCCGCTGCAGGAATTTTCAATATTAATAATTCATTTGAATTTTATGTGAATGTGGTTGTTGGATTGTTGCGGCAATGGACTCCTAATATTTGTCACACTGCAAATCACAAATATTGTTCAAGCAACAAATATACCGTCACAAGTAATTGAACTGAACGATAAATTCCTTCAAGTCAAGGACGATGGCCTTTGGTTTGTTAACGTACGAAATATTTTCGATTATTTTAAAATTGGGTGGATAAGTTGAAATTTGATTATTGGTCGGTTATTGTCAATTTGATTATTGTGAAGTCTCAAGCTTAATTCTTTCCATTTGCTGGAACAATAGTTCTTAAATTAGCTTCGAATGCATGATGCGCTAAAGTAGCAATCTTCTAACTAGTGATCAAAGGACAAAGCAATGAGTTCATTAATTATATAATATTTCTGATATTGTGGCTTTATTTATTTCAAAATGCATATGCGAAGGACTGCATTTTCTGACATTTTATGTCGTATTTTCAATTTGTAAAGTATCTTTGCTATGTAGTTTCAGTTTTATGCTCCGTGGTGTGCTCACTGCAAGCGTTTGGCTCCAGTTTGGGAGCACGTTGGCCATGCATTAGCCGATCGTCAATCCCTTGTTCGGGTTGCTAAATTGGATTGCACTCGTTACACGAATACTGCATCGGCTTTGAATATTCGAGGATATCCGACGATTATTTTGTAAATTTTGACCTTTCGTTGTAAGAACATGAAAGAAAACATTTTGTGGTACGGAACTTCTTTCTTTGTAAAACTTTTAGCTTCAGATTGTGTCTTCTTTTTTTTTTTATTAACCTAGGTCTTGGTTTTTAAATTTATAAAATCAAATTTCATTAGCTGCTTCTCATTTCTCAATTTCTTATAGTTTTCGGAATGGGAAAGAAATAGCTTATGAAGGCGAACGAAAAAAGGAAACAATCATTGACTTTGCAGAAAAAGCAGCTGGTCCCATGATGGGTATCATTGACAATGTTCAGCAGTTATCGCAGGTTTCTTTACTTTTTCATTTCAGTTTAATAACCTTTTAAATGTACCGTGGAAATTATTCTTAGATTTTTTACAGTTGTTCTGAAATATTTTATAATTCGTTCGTGGGCCAAGATTTTGGATTGTTTGTTGATTGTAATGATGAGCCGATAAGATTTTTGTGCAATCCACACATCTTCATCCTTCGTACATAATGCGTATTTTAGATGCGAAAAAATCTGAAAGAACCATTTTTTGTGTATGTGAGAGGAAACCAGGATGCACAGTTTGTTGAATTATTTAATAACTACAGCAGTATTGCCGAAATGTTATTTTCGTCGACACGATTTTATCGGGCGAAGAGAGATGTGTTTCCAAAAGCCGTTTCAATCCCTGAAATTCCATCAGTTCTCGTTTTCAAAGATGGCGAATATTTAACCTATAAGAGAAAAAGTGATTAATTCAGTTCTCATCGAAAGTACTTGCGTCTTGGAATCTCAGTTCAGCAGATTTTTTTTGGCGTTATGTAATCTAACCATTGTTCTGTAAGCAATATGAGCTATCATTTAACAGCAAGTATTATATTCTGACCACCAAATCTCATTTCCCGATGCGTTGCGATGTATGGAGAAATTGTGCTTACAAAAGAACAGCAGTCTTCTTACAGAAGAATAAGACATTAATAATTATTTTGGAAATTATATAATTTGGCAAAATAAGTTACTTTCAGAAGCATTGGTTTGTTTTTCTAGGAGGGACTTTAAGTGACTGGATTCGCAGCGAACGTTGGTCTTTAATACCGCTTGTTGCTTCAACAAATGTTAAGGAAGTTGGAAGGATGCGGATGCTAGTTTTGGCCATCGTAAATATGGTTGAGAGGAGGAATGGTACAACGCAAGTAGGGAAGTTGGTATTAACAAAGTTAATAATGTCGGAGCTGTAAGAGACGTTTCACATCCATCGGATAGTTTTTTTTTTCCTTTAATTGTAAAAGTTTTCGATATTTTTAGTTACTGCTCGCCACTGATTTTAATTGAATCTTTTCTTTTAGTTTCAGTTCATTTATTTAGATTTTTTTCGATGGTCACTAACGCAGCCCAAATGGTACGTAAAGATTCCTATCTTTCAAATATTTTCCAGTTTGGTTGGTCTGATGGTAATGAAATAGCAAATAATGTCGTTTTGGGTAATGTAAATCCACCAGGCAAGTGCTGTTGATATCTTTTCTCTTAAATTTGATATTAATTAATCATTTTTGGCCTTTTTACTTACTACGCTATCCTTTGATGAATAGAAAAAATGAAACATTATTCCGAAGCGTGGTATTTTGCACTGGAATCTGACATAAGATTAATATTCCTGTAATATATTGTCCTTCGTTAAACAATAGTTAGTTTATTGGCGGGAAAAATTTTTTCTTCAGAAATGTGCCAACAGCAGTAGTAATTCTCTTTGTTTAGGTTTACTGGTTTTCAACGTTACGAGTTATGAATATTATTCAAGCAGTGATGCTGTGAGTGTTATGACTGAAAAAAGTATTATTTCATTCTTGGAACGGATAGCAGCAGGTGATGTGCCACCTCTTGGAGGACGTTCGTTATCGCAGCGAATTAAACGCTTATGTTTTGAGGTATCGTATTTTTAAAATTTGATTCGTTTTTAGGCACCAAATTTTTGTTATTCGAAATTGAATATTTTTGTAGGTTAGAACGTAAAATTGCAGAATGTTTGATCCAAATTCAGCACTGCAGCTTATAAATCTACTTGCTTCTTACTTTGTTTTTCGGCACCGTTTCATTTTCTTTAAATTTTTTTTTTTTCTCGGCCCTAGTGCAACTTTTACTAACATTGTAGTTTATTCTCTATTACTAAAGGAAGGTATGGGGTTCCGATTCATGAATTTATGGGTTCAGAAGTCACGTGGTGTATATACTTAGTAGCAGACAAGAGATAAGTAGGAGGCGGATGAATTTTATCATACAAATCAATTGTATTTTCACCTTCCAAAAGACTTATAATTGGGAATGTTGTTAAGAAGTAAATGAGCATGTAAGGAATTCGCGTCCCTTGAAAATTACGCCCTTAAACTATTTTCTTCGTTCATCTCCTGTAAAAGGAGTTGGAAATAAAGAATTTTTATTATAATTCAAATCCTAACGAATTTGGCTTATAAAGTGAGTTGTAGTACGACGACTTTTAACCATCTAACAGTTGTGGTGAGCAAATTTTGCACAACATTCACGGAAGTTCAAGTGAATTTTATTGAATCAACTATTTATTTACGAATTCAGCTTAATGATTTTCTAGCAGGTTTTCAGCTTTTCACAAACGTAGCAGAAATGTTCAGAGCGCAACCTCTGCTAACATTGTGTTTATTTGGAGTGCCATTATCATTTCTTTCATTAATAACTTATTGCATTTGCTCAACGGATTTCTCAGTGGATCATGATGAAATTTATCCGGATGAAGATGATGATAGCTTTATATCAGGTAGTTAATATTAAAAAAAAAAAACACGAGAGAAAATTATTGGATGACTTTGAAATTGAAGGTGACCAAAATTTTGACATTAAAATTTGAAGATGACGAGAATCACCAAAAGGAAGAATAAAAACTGGAAGTTTGTGGAATCCTGCATTATGATGAGAGACATTTTCCGTAATAAAATTTGTGGAGATGATCAAACGAAGCGTCCTCTGAAGCGAATCAGAATTTCAGAAGCTTCAAACATACGTCTGATTTATTCCATTTGTGCTTGGATTTTGTTCTGGTTCGGATTTTGAAAGTGTCTAAAGTTATCCATACCTTTTTGAAAATAACTGTCCTGTATTTCCTTTATTATGCGTAAAGCTTGGTTCATGTATCACGTGATGAAAAGAGTATTTAACAAAAAAGCGTGTTTCATCTGATCACCTCGAAACGAAATCGCTCAGTCACCAAAATATCCAACTGCTTCAAATGTAAAGTTTTTCAATGTATTATTGAAATTAGATGAACTATTCGACTAGTGATCCATTTAATATCTTCTGCTTTTATTCCTTGTAAGGAACGAGAGGCTAATTATAGCATATACGACCATTCAAAAGTATTGGGAAATGAAACTACGACCACTTCACGCTTCCTTTTTCTTGAAGATGTAGAAGTCCCCAAATTTGCTTCACGATTCCCCGAAATCTCAACTTCTCTCAGTTCGGTCATTTCGTCGTCTCCCTCCACATCCCTTCCATTTGCATTTCGAGACAATTCCTATCCATTCCAGAGACTGAGATTATATAAAATTCGATCTATGCGCCACTACAGCAGCACCCTATGCCATATTGACTGTTCATTTTGAAAATTTTATCTTCAAGATAGTGTATTCTCTCTTGTTACATTTTAACACATTTTCCGAATGCTTTAATGATTTGCCGCGACATTTTGCAGTTTTAGATTGATAGGAAAAGTCAATTATGGACGTAAAGACAGAGACTCTTGGCTTGATTCGTAGAACCTTTATAACTTTATATCACTTTCCATTATAATTCGTACAGACGACACACATGGCGTTTTGAAAAATATTTTCTTCACGCAGATTCAAGAGACAAAACTCGCCTATACTTAATATTACTACATGTTTTAGACTCTTTAAAACATATGACTTAGAAACTTATACTTCGATCTAACTAATTTCTTGGATGCTTCGCACAGCGCTGCCAAAATTATTCTTACGAGCAGGATTCCATTGATATGGTAGCTTTTACAATGTTGTGCAGTATTACAAAGTGGAAAGCAGACGATGTCTGAAAAAGAAACCAATCAAATTGGTTGACAGCAGTCCAGTAATGCGGTTTATTACAATGCTGAAAGGTTTAGTATGGAACTATTTAAGTTGAAATAAATGATGAAATAAAAATTTGTAGAATCTGTGCTTCTTAAAATCTGCGTAACAATTTTAAATGGCTTATTTCTCCCAGAATTCCAAACTGGATGGACTTAGAATCCTTTCCATCTCATTTCCTCTCTCTAAAAAGTAAAGACCATATTACTTACATTTACAAAATGTTTCGAATACATATTTCTCCATGAATCGCGAATCATAAAAAATATTTTGCCATTCGCCAGTTATTTCAAAACAAACATGCTACACAAAAACGATAACATATTTAGGATTAATTGACATTAACAGGCAGTGGGTTATCCGGAATAAGTGATGAGAAGAAGGATGTGATGAACGTGTAGCAGGTGCTCCAGAAAACCACCCATGCCGTTGGTTCCCGTGGTTCATCCTCATCAATTCCTGTCGTCACTGCCTCGATCGCGCTTCCGTCTGTACCATGATCGTGGCCCACATCGGTCTGGAACGATTCAGGAATTCGTTTCATCGTTTTATGAAATTTCTTCCGTACTACAAGTCATCAGTCAAACTTCAACTCACTTAAAGCATTCTCCTGTCTTTGCTAAGCAAAATCTTGTAAGAATTTATACACAAAAGGGCATAACATAATTTCAAAAAACAATGTAATATTCCAAATAACATGGCAACTGAAAAGGACACAAATGTTGCGACAATCAAAGCTTCATCCCTTTTCTCACTGATAAAACTGGGGGTATGTGGAATGCTTTGGCAACAGTTCCAATGAAACTAGAATTTTCCAGGAAATTTTCTTAAGAGTACCTCTTGCGGTTGGCGAACATTATCAATAGCAGCAGCAAATTCTCTATCCGCTCTTTCACGATTATTTCGATCACGCCTTGCTTGTATGAACCAAACCAGCAAGATAAATATCAGTACACCAAAAAATCGTTCCGCAGATGAATACACATAAACTAGCATTACCAAAAGACACATCCGGATTGCCTGGAATTTTCGGGGAATATCTTGAAGTTCTTCAGTGTTTCTTTTAAAATTAAATTTAACATTATCATCGAAATTTCACTATTAAGCTCATTTTTGGAAAAAGACTGTGTCTGCTGAAAAATCTCAGCATATACCTTGTAAATAGCATCCAAAAAATCTCGCTGCTGACCATCAACATCACCAGCTACCGCTTCTTGAACTATACCACCTGCAGCAGGAGCTGCAGCCAAATTCGGTCCAGCCTAAAATTCATCGAATTTGAACTTCCATGATGTATAACAAATGACTGGTACACACCATTGCAGATGTCTGATAGGCGTGCTAATACTATTTCGAAATGTATTTCTGATGGAGATAGAACAAAATATTTGAGATGTATTGCAAAGTGGTATATTTAAACGATAACCAAAGTAACTGAAAATCTTCGGAAATGGAAGATTAAATATGTCATAGAAATATATGAAAAAACTTCTGAAAACCACAACTCCATCTAAAGACCGAGTGTTTCTAATCATGTCTAATTATTAAATAAAGATGAAAAATGTTCATGTGACTAAATCAGGAGAACTCAAGCATGTCGAAAACTGAAGTTCAAAAAGTATGTCTGAGATTCTTTTATATATTACAAAAACAAATTTCCATCATAATGATCGTAATGTATCAGTGATTTCGAGGTTCGAGGTCGAAATCATGTACAAATGGGCAGGTTGGGAAGATCAGTTAATATACGATGTCGATAACAAATCCTGTTAGGTATTTATTCAATTTAAAATGAGCTAACATTCATAAAACAAGAGAAACATACCCTCTCTCGTTGATTAGCTTGCTGTGGTGACTGTAACACTGTCTGTTGACTGTTCAATAGGAACTGAGATGGAAAGTGAATATCACTGGAACTGTTTTCTAATGCAGTCATCATCTGATACACACTACAACGTATTCAATTTTTATGCAAATGATACTAGTTCTGAGATAGGCTAAAACACAGCCAAAGCAATAATGCCCATTAAATAGTATTCTAATTTTCACTGGAATAATTGAGAGCAAGCTATGCCAACTTTCGCTAGATTCATTTACCGATTAACATGTAATTTCGCCGTAGCTTAATGAGTGAAATCTGTCTTAACATTCAAAGAAGCTGAGCTTCATAAAATTAATGAAAAGGTTTGAAACTCACTAGTTGTTGTATGAAATCATGTATGCTTGATATGCGTTTTGAAAGTGAGCACTTGAAGAAACAAGCATTGATTGTGGTGTAGCAAAACTTCCTTGAACAGCAGCGTTGCCCCACAGAGGATATGTGTAAAACGGGAAACCACCATTGACATTGTGATTCTGTACTTGTGCTGCACTTCTCAAAGAAATTGAGCTTGCCCTATAATGGTATTAGTAAAAAATCTGTATAATTAAAAATCATAATATTGTTAATATTGTACTTATCGAACTTGAAACAATTATAAATTTTCAGAAAATAAAATTAAAAGAAAAATAGTAAGTTACTGTGTATGATTGGCATTACGCCTTCTGAGCACTGATGCACCCACATGAGTATTAAAATCTTTGGGAGGACAAACAAGATGTATCACGTGAACATTCCCATCATCGATTGGTCGAAGTTCAAACACTGACTTAAGAGTATGGTCGTCATGTAAGCAATGTCCAGCATAGATCAGACGCTGTTTTTTAGCTTCCTGAAAAAGAAAGAGGGAAATAAAGGCCAATGAATAATTTTATGAAGATGACAATAGATAAAAATTCGCCGTAAAATTTTGAACTTGTCTTCTTTCATTGTAAAATAAAAGGCGGGGACAAATAATTTTCTGAAATTGCTGCAAAAACAATATCTGTGTGAATGCTTTTGCTTTTTTTGTCAATTATCATCTCAATTTGCATTATTTCAGGAATGGAACAAACGAAAAATGTATATAAGACTTCCAAGAAAAACTACTTAACCGGTTTCGAAGGACAATCCACGGCGAGTTTTTCTTTAAGTTGAAGAACGGTCCATGACGAAAGACAATTTATGGATAAATCATCGAATGATTGTAACGCACACCGTATTAACAAACGGACATTTTCATCATTTAATTCAGTCATTCTTCTCTTAAAATAAATACAGATCACTAGTAAATAAAAAGCATCAATTAAATATCAATAATAAAGTTCTTAAAATGTATAACACAGCACTGACCAACGCAGGTGTAAAATGCTTTCGTATATATGGATATTATTCCTCCTAATACCAATCCTTTATTGGCTGTTCCCAAAATTTTCTGCGAATATATTGAAAAATTATACATAGTAAGCGTAAATAATAAGAAAATATCACGGCATACATTGTCCAAACGAGGAAAGTACGTAATCAAATAAGTGGAGAAAAAGTAAGTGACAACCTCGTAAATGAGAATGAGAAAGCGGACTTCGAGCTAAACAGTACTGCAGCTTGATATTCAATAGGTACTTCCGAGATAAAACAGAAATATCACGGCATACATTTTGCAAGGACCAGTCTTATTACTATAAATGATGGAAGTTGATAATTAGTTGAAAAGATTCCCTTCCTCTATCAAATATTTTGCCAGAGTGAAACATGACAAAGATACCTTGCACTGCATATTATGAAATCACTTATTTTAATTTAAAATCATCAGATAACCATAACACATGAGTATACTACCACAAAATTCTGCCACAGTCATTGCGTGGCAAGAGAGATTTTCACAAATATTTTTCGGAAAGGAAGAAGTGAAAAGAAAACAAGAATGTATGAAGAAAAACCAGCCCTGGAATGGTTAACAATGCATCACAGAATTTACAAGCGATTGAGCCATCGCGATAAAAGATTCCACCATAGAAGATATCATAGAAAAGAAATTCTACCGAAGTCACTTAAATCTCATCTAAATGCCTTTCAAATATTCAATCCGCTCATCAGTAGCAATCGCATGCAATTTAAACGATTTTCTTAACTTGAACTGAATTTCAAATTTCGTGAAAAAAAAAAAGAAAAAACGAAAATTGTCTAGGGAATTACAAGAATGACAGTTTTTTTGACAAATAATGGTAATTTAAGTATTCAAACTGCTTACGTATTAAATTGGTCTGAGAAGTACCTTTGTCAGATATTTCTAAATATATATGTCACTCGTCATTATCAACCTTCAATAATTAGCTAGAGTTGGAGAACCTGATGCTCGCTGAACTAAATTCATTCACATTTAAGTGGTAGTACAATTAATAACGTAAAAAAAGACTGAATAAGTAAAAAAAAAATTGAAATCTGAAAAAAAACTGAAAGTAAAAAACTGAACATTTCGAAAGTTGGAAATATGCAATAATTTAGTCATTTTCTTTTCTGAATTAATCGGAACTGAGAACAATCTTTCAGTGCAACCTGATTATAACGTTCATCCATTTCGACTGGAAAAAAGTATATGGGCAATTCCTTACAGTGAAATTCAAGAGTAATCTTGTTATAACTACAACACGGAAAAGATTTATGGCAACAAATGTCTTTCAACCGATGCCAGAAAGTCGGTCAAGTCGTCCCCCCGCACTCCCGCCACTGCCCCTATGTGTACATCGCGACACGACACGTTAAATAAGGTAATTTATGACCCGTCCCTTTCGAGCTTAAATTTTCTTTTTCACTGTGGTAGGTTAGAGGAAGGTGACCTGACAAAAGATGTGGAGGTGTTGCTTTGTGTAATGTATTTATAGCTCATTTACTTTGATATTTGGTTATGACGTAACGAGGAAGAGTTATCACAAGCTTATTTTTATATAATGTTCACTACCCCACTTCTTCCGAGAGGGTCAAGGTGCGCTTGAAAATACGGCGTCTTAAAGTAAAAGAATGATGACTAATTTATATCTTTTCGAACTAAACGTCTCTCTTCGTTCACTTCAATGGTCACTCTGTCAACCAGACTTTCGGAATCTCGGAAAAAAGTCTTCCTCTTAAACTTAAAATGCATTTTCAATTTAAGATTTGAAAATTCGACAATACCTGGAAGTTTTGGTTGGGGATGGAATTTCACCCCTATGTCTTATGAAAATGTTTTAGTGACATGCTGTTTAAACCAGCGCTCATAGGCATTTCATCCTCATTGATGTCTAATTCCGTTTCAGGCAGTCTTGATACGGAATGTCTGAATTCTCGGATTGGTATTTTGGAGTACCGGAAATCACTAGATACTGGTTTACCGGTAGTGTCATTTTGCCGCTGCTAGGCCGATTTGGTTTATTCAGTCCCTATTTAATGCTACTTGAGTGGAATCTATTTTTTCACAAATTTCAGGTTTGTGTCCAATGAAATCCTTAGAGTTTGTATTCACTAAATTTTTGAAGAGTTTAAAAAAAAAGAGTTTTTTTTTGGAAGAGCCAAAAATTACGGATGCTGTGAATCAAGCTTTCGAACAAACAGTTTTGGAGGATGATATCCCTGTATTGTTTTGGTTACTCTGAAAGTCAACGATATAAAATGAAGGAACGAAATTTATCCTGTGTCTTTTGTTTTGCTTAGAAGTTTTGGAAAACTCTGAAAGAATAGTCAGACACGCTTTGATGTTTCCAGAGTATACGAAGTTTGTTTAGAGATCTTACATGCTGTTTTAGATATGGCGACCAGTGACAGCATTGTTTTATTATCCATTAACGCCTTCTTCGGGTTTTCATTGGCTATTGATGCTGTATTTCATGTATAATTATTCTCGTGGTATTGAGACTGGACTGTTTGATGGTCGACCGGCCGACTACCTTTTTATGCTTATTTTCAACTGGATCATTTGCGCCGTTAGTTCTTTATGCTGCCAAGACTCCCTGTATGGTCACTGGAATTCCAAGATGAATGTTTCTCCAAGAATTGTCTTTTTGTAGACCTCAGAGCAGTTTTATGAAGTTTATATCACTAGTCCTGATCACCACCCACTGATAGCATAATTTGAAAACATTCATATTGCAGCAGCCGTACTGGAACATTTCACAGACTGGTACTGTTAATGTGAAATCTTGAAATTCTTTATATATAATCAGCTTTTCTCAGTTAGCTGATGCCTGTGAGTTTATAGTAAAAAACTGTAAAGCCAAATTTGAGACTTCCGTCGTATTCATTTTCAGATAATATGTCTAGCAGCTGGTGTGTATTTTCTACTGGAACCAATGGTTCTTAGCGTGTTGTACATATGGTGTCAAATGAATAGAGACCAAATTGTTCACTTTTGGTTCGGAACACAATTTAAAGCAATGTATTTACCATGGATACTTGTCGGTTTCAATATGATTCTTCGAGGGGGTGGTATGAATGAACTAATCGGGATTCTCGTTGGACATGCTTACTATTTCTTGATGTTCAAATACCCGCAGGATTTCGGCGGTCGCACTTTTTTGCAAACACCACAAATCTTGTAAGTTGTCCATATAGTACTTGAAAATCTAGTTCCTCCACATTGTGATATTAGTTATGGATCGAAAATTTAGTTCCTCCACACTTTTGAAAATCTTTAGTTTCTTACCGAATACTTCTCTGTCACGAATTCGGCATTGCTCTAACCCCCTGATTTGACCTTACCACTGATCTTTTCATGTTATTGGTATTCAAATACACTTGGACATTTTGTGCTTTCCCTTTCTTAATTCATGTAAATACACGGGTCATTCAACAATGCTGATCTGACTAGGTGAGCCATAAATAAGTTCCCTAGTTTCAGCCCCAACTTTTTATAGGTACCGATGGTTCCCAAATTGGGCAAACGTAGTCCATGGATTTGGTCAAGCACCATCATACAGAAGAACAGATACAGATAACGGCGGGACAGGTAGACATAACTGGGGGCAAGGCCGCCCATTGGGCGGTCCAGACTGAGAACTCAAAATTCTTGATTTTATTCATGTTTACCCATCCCCATAAAGAAATCCTTCAAAAGTCACACCAGCAATCAGATTATTGATTGCATTCTGAACTCCACTCAACATTTCCATTATACGCTTTACTTCCCTCCGTTTGGAATCCAGTTCAAACGCGACTCCATTGTCGGATGCCAACGTTCATGCCCTTTATTCCAGTTACGATTCGGTCCATTTGTTTTTCAAAGTATTTGAGACGCTTTCAATGATTTCATTTACTTTTTTTGTAAGAAATGTGAAACAAAATGCATCCTGGCACAATACCTGAATTAGGCTACAAATGCGCCTAAATTCTTTGTGTGTTTCACACAAAGAACTTATTTTTGGAACAAAAATTTCTTTGTGTGAAACATTCAAAGAACATATTTTCGAAACAAGAAAAAAATCGGAATGTATTACGATTACTGGAAGGCTTCAAATAAAACCAAAAGTTGCGTTGTTTAGGAAGAACCACAAAATTCACGATTATGTGCTTAGTTTCATAATTTTTTGTGTGCATGTGTGTCTGTGGTGTATAACCTCAGCGAATTAGTAAGCTTTTTTAATTAACAGTGATGAGAAAGGCACTCGACAAATTAGGCATCACTGAAAATAACTGTCCGGGTGTCAAATTTTCAGGAAAAACCGTAATGTATGAAGAGGCCAGTAAGAAAGAAAAAGCATGAAGCTGTTGAGACTCCGATTTTACTGTAGAAATAGTTGGAACATTAACAAGCAGAAGCGAGGAGAAATGAAAGCTAGGAAGCAGAGCAAATATAGGGGCTCCTAAGCTGTATAATTAAAACAACCAAGGAATCCCGTATTTCTGTAAAGAGTAAATTAAATGCTAAAGTTCACTGATGTCACAAAATATGATATGGGGAAAGTTTGAGTAGTCATTTCCAGAGGTAACTCACAGTTTGAAATTTAAAAAAAAATATCCCAACCGTACTTTTGTATGCAGGCAAATAATCGGTAGAGAAAGTGTCTAGACCATGGAACTAGAGAGAAAATGTGGCTGGAAATTCAGTTCTTTCATTCTTAGTTGGGGAAGAAACCGAAGGCTTTAGAAAGCATTTTAAAAAAATACCCTTGAGAACCCTTTAAAAATCTCCACTCGGAGAAACTAAAAAAAACTATCAAATTGAAGGGATTAAAACAGACATCCAGAAAACTCAAAAGTTCCTGGAGTTGTTGCTTTTTAAGAAATGGTAGCAAACAGTAATGGGATCTTATTTGCAAAAAAAAAAAGAGGAAAATGTCAGGATTATAATCATTATAATATTAACATTGCAGCGAAGCAGGGGTAGTCCTAATAACGACATTTTGCGAGAGGTAGTACGATATAGTAACTTAGCAACTGCTTTCTGGTATCATGCTTGCGCTCCATGTTGAATTAATCGAGTGTCGTAACAATTTTTGGAGGAAATGTGACAGCATTCTTTCATTTTTCGAAAAAGCTCCCACTACGTCCTTTGTGGTACTTTCACATTCGAGGGCGAAGTGAGTGCTGTATGCATAGCTTTGATTGGTAAGTATCGTGAACTTCGTGAATTAGTCGCATCGGCCCTACTGTCCACCTGTTGTTTTTGCCTATAACGCCTTCGTTCCAGTTCGCATCGCAAACACCGCGATAAATTTGCCTCATGAAGACAAATTTGGTGATACGAATGACCTGAAACATTTTGCTTATAATACAATTTTAGCAAACAAGTAGCCATTTACAAAATTCGTTCAAAACAAGCTTAATCGAACTACTTAAAGCCTAGTGTGACAAGATGGTCAGACGCTGGTTAAATAACTATTTGATGTCGCGTGAATCTTCTGAAACTTGCAATACCAACTATCAAGCCACCCTAACTTCTGCTACTCACCATAGTGCAGCATTATTCAACTAATGTTATTTCTACATTTCTATGAGATATTGAGCAATTCAGTGGAAGGGATATCATAGTTGAAGAGGAAATCAGTGCCGTTCAAACTCTTACCACAACGAAATACTGTGATGTAGCCATCTTCATGTGTCACTCGCATTTTCAGCGGTAGTGTACAACAAGTACAGTTGCTGAAAGTGGCTTGGAACTTATTTTTAACAAAACAATTATATGAGGAATATTTGTTGCTTAACGAAGTTTGAAAAACGTGCAACATAAAATGCATTTACATCAAACCATATAGACACCAACCCATCAACTGAGATAGTTAGGCTTCCACTCGGTGATTTTATGCCTCTGACTGCACCAGAATCATCGAGGACTGATGTTGACGAGAATGTTCCAGCATCTTCGACTGCCGAAATTTTGAGCTCTGCCAAAAGATCAGTGATAACCTGGAACAATCTAGCAAATCAAATATGGTGTTGAACGCAGCAACAGATGTGAGGGACTTCTTAAAAAAATGTTCCTCGCGGAATGGTCATATGAGTATGAGATGAATTTGGAATGAATACTGGCGAACAGGTGAAATGAATACCAAAATTTAATGTTAATTACTCGCAGTAGGTACGAAACATTAAAAACTGCGCTATCAGGAGGATCTACTGGCACCAAAAAAACCACGGATAAAGCTTCAGAAAAAGATGAATTCTGATACCAGAACTTCACTCCGTAAATTCCTACCTCTTTGGGCATCAGGCTGGAAAATCTGTTACACTCGTATGCTTTTACAATGGCAAGCCACTTCCAATCTTCTGTTGTTAAACATGACGCTAGCTTTTCATTGTTCTTTAGAAATTCGAGAACTGTACTGAGACCTTCACAATAACGCATACAAAGCAGAAGCTACAAACAGATGGTGGAGCAAAGTTTTAGCCAATGGTTCTTTAGAAACCCCATGTCAAATGCACTACGGTCTAGTGATCGCCATAGGTGAAAATACAACTTCGAATTATTTTCATATACTTTTATAATCCGGTACTCAATTCGCCTATCTGTCAATAGCAAAATCGAGGAATTTCGCTTAGCCGCAAACTGCAAAAGATCTATCTCTGCTCATCAACATTGATTTATCCATTAATTATTCATCTAGATGAAGTCATGCATTCACAAGGACCTGAGAAATCTTCACCGCTGGTAACCACAAGAACTTTTTCGAACATTCCTCGAACTCCAGTTTCTTTCTTGAAACATCAACATGAGAATTAGTATCAACTTTCTTTTGGATTCTAGGACGTTCTGAAAAAATTCTACCAACAGTCCCAAGCATAAAATAACTTAAGAAATGAGAAGTTGGATGCGGAAGGGATTAAGAAATTTGAAAAATTTAAATCCACTTAGTATTCTTCAACTTTATTTCCAGTATTAACTAACTTTCCGTAACTGTTGTAATATTTTTGAAAAATACTCGATATACTAAATCTTCGTCCCAATTCTTGGCTTCCATTTGCACTAAATTCTCAGTGCATTTCTTTCTTATGCTTTTTTTTTCAATTCGTTCCACCATTTCTTGAAGTAACGAAGCTTCCCGTTCTGCAAAAAATTTTCCTTTTCCACTGCAAATCTTTGGCTATCCAGTGAGACCCTTCCTATCCATGCCCTAATACTGATAAAGTTCTCACGTCGAAGTAAACACTGAGTTTACTGAAATAAGAAATATCCTTATCATGATGAAAACGGACTTAAATGATCATCGAATTCGAAAAACGCTGCGCACGCATCGCACAGATTGTCGGAGGAACTTTCACCATTCTTCGCAGCAGCAGCACGGTATTCGAACAACTTTGTCCATTGCTCAATCGCGATGGGGACGCCACCAGCAGCGAACTGGTCAACGGTTACCCGTAACTGTGACATTTTTGACCCAAATGTCATAACGTGATGCCAAAGCCTAGAAAATTCTTGCAACAATGAACAAAGGAAATTCCGGAACTTAACAAACTTCATCAGATAGTTGTATAGATATTAACCAGGACTTGCACGAATATATCATAAAAATAGCTATGTTGGAATTTTAAAAAAGAATAAAGAATTTATTAAAATCGCTTTTTTTGCGAAAATTTCAATGACCAAAGTCTTCCAATGAAACAGTGCACGGAATAGAATGTACTACAATGATCGCATTAACTGTAATTTGTTTTTTAGCACAATAAGATAAGCTAAAATCAGTCGTCCAAGGCCGATTTTTGAGAATGGGGTTGTTTTGCTATAGTCATTGCTAAATCTGTGATAAGTCCAATTCAATTAATTTAAAATCTGTAACTAGTCTTCAAAAGAAGGAGAATTTGGATATATGTAAACGTACCGTTGATACTGATAAAATGTGCTAATCTAATAAAAACTCTTTTCAAAATTCAGAATTTTTATTGTAATTGATGCTCACTTTTCCAATGAATTTTCTCATTGTCGATTTGTCTACTACTAATGTTCTTTGTAAAAAGTTAAACACAAGGAAAACTTCCCAGAGTTAGCACCGCCAGTTATATCATTCCTTATCAGATCAGTTGCAATGTTAATGAGTGAATCGTACAAATTCATGAACAAACCTGTGTAAACCACAAATTTGGCAGTATGCTGAATTTTCCCCATCCACCTTCTTAGTTTCTGGTAAGGTCAAAGTTTTGGGCGTAATGCTGACTTCGCTGGAATGCATTAAACGTTCATCTTTACCATTTAATGTCCTCGCTGCTTCCAAGCTTTTCATACCAATTGAATCGTTCTTCTCATCATCACCATTCATTGTCCAGATCATTTTAATCGGATGAACAGCCACAAAGTTCTTTTCAATAATGTAACTTTTATTCAACAATCTGCAAAAACTTATTAGATTTCCTCCAAGAAACCCAAACAAAAACAAGAAAGTGGTCCCAATGAAATTACAAAGGAAGAGAACAACTGAGAAACCAAGAAACTGAAAATGCAGGAAGTGACTATCAGAAATAATACGCGAAATAATACGAAAAATAATACGAAAAATAATAATAAAAATAATATTACAGAAATAATACGCGTCTATACAAAAATGATACTTAGGCTACAAACAAATCTACAAGTGAACGATCTATTTTTATTTTAACCCAGTATCCCTTGACGACTGATCGATCGAGCTATATCTTGAACTTTCGTTCCTTTCTGGAGTTTCATTATAGTTCAAATTCAAACTTCCATTAGATATGAGACTACGTTTTATTAATTGCTGTTCCGAAGTCGATTTACAATGTTCTGACTTTTCATATTCGATTTCAGGTATTACCTATAATTACAACAGACTTATTACAAACGACAGCACCAGAGCAAAAAATCAATGCATTTTGAAAGAGAAAGCAAATGTCATA